CGAATAAGGATGGAAGGAACACTGAGATGTACTATTAATAAATATTTTTAGTAGAATTAATAAGAATAAACGGAGGTAAAGGATGAAATTAAATGATTTAACAGCAGAATGCAGAACAGGAAGCATTGATGAAGACAACCATTTGCAGGATTTAAAGGTTATTAATTTCAACTCGGGGTAGTTATTCTCTTTATACATACACATTTATTTATTTATAATACATAAGTAAAGAAACTGTTATTAATTTCGACTCGGGGTAGTTATTCTTTTTATACATACACATTTATTTATTTATAATACATATGTAAAGAAACTTAAAATGACATCAATTTGATAAATTTTTAAGCTTAAATTCTAAGATATATAAATGAATACTAATGAATACATATGATTAAGTTTGATATATATATAAAATAGGTATTAATACTTTAAAAATACAATTTGAAATAGTTTTGATTTCAACACTCCAATGTGATGACATCATCATCATCATTAATATCTTTCATCCATATTTGATTATTAATTTTCTCCATCCTTTTTTCATATTTTTTTACTAATTTTATAAGGTCATCAGCCACATCATTTAATTTCGTGATAATGTCAGAGGCTATGAAAAAGGATAAAAAAAAATATATATATATACATATTCATTGCATTACAATTATAGTAATGTACTCAAGCTGAATCTTACAATTAGTTGCTGTTAGGTACAATATTTCTCCTGCGTGTCCGCCGACATACTCGCGCCATTATTACTCGCGCCGCTTTCGAGCGGTGATCAGCTTAGTAGTGCGCGCTCTGGCCACCGCGGCGCTTGCATCCCTAATCGGCGTTGTTAGCGTATCAATTCTTCCTTGTTCTCTACGATCAACCGTCCAGCCAGCCGCGTGTACGATAGCCGCGTGTGTACTAACCAAGTGAACCGTATCAATAAAGAATTAAATAAGTAAGGGAATACAGCTACTTTTGTTCCCGACCACGCCCGAGCGCGAGACAATTACCGCCGCGTGTCACCGCGTGGAAAAGCGTGCATCTCAGCATCGCGCTAACACACACCTTTTGGTCCTTCGAGCCGAATCCAGCCATCTTGGATCGCCATTCGGTTCACGAGGCACACGATAACCGACATCAGGTTTTCCCGGCACTCACGTGGCATTATTGGCGAGGTGTCCGAAGCATACAATCGGATCACCGGTAAATGAAACCATCGGCGTCGGTTTCGACAGCGCACCAAGGCGCACGACCGCGCGCACAAGCACGCGCACGGCCAGCATCAAGGCGGCGTGCCAAGCATCCGCATCACCGACGTCGGCTTCGACAAACGCATCGAGGCGCACGACCGCGCGCACAAGCACGCGCACGGTCAACATCAAGGCGGCGTGCCAAGCAGCCGCATCTCTAGCGTCGACTTCGACGAGCGCACCAAGGCGCACGACCACGCGCACGAGCACGCGCACGGTCGACTTCAAGGACGGCGGCGTGCCAGACAGCAGCCGCAACATCGTCATCGGCTCTTCGGACAGCGCATCAAGGCGCACGATCGCGCGGGAGGTCGCCATTGTCAACAGCGAGCCAAGCAGCATCTTCCAGAACGAGCTTCGGTCCTTCAACAACGCCGGAAGAAAGGCGAGGGCACGGCACCATGTGACGTTTCCATAGTCTTCCGAAATTCTTGTCATACCACAGTTAAGGGTGACTGTCGCGATCAGCTGCCAACCAGAAGTGTCGTTTTATCACTAGATTTTTGCGTGTCGAATCAAGATGTCTCAGGAAAGACATAACCATTCTCAAGAGGCAACGTGCCGTTATCAAAGCTTCATGCACGCGAATAAAAACACGCGGATTCTATTACTTCCGTCACGCCGTCAGTAACGGCACAGCTCGAAGAGCGAAAATCAAAATTGGCTCATTACTGGCTAGAATATTGTAACGTTCAATCGCGGTTAGAAATGCTTGTCGAAGACGAAGCGGGCGATCGTGCCTCTTTCGAGGACGCGTATTTTGCATTATCGGCAAAAATCCGAGAATTGTTATTCGCGCCAACTCATTCGAATCGAGGCGTCGTCAATCCATCACCTTCGAATGTATCAGACACACGAGAGTCCGCGATGCACGTGAGGTTACCTAAGCTCAATCTTCCGACTTTTAGCGGCAAGTACGACGAATGGTTCCCTTTCTATGACGCATTCAATTCTAGTATACATTCGAACATATCAATCAGTAATGTCCAGAGACTCCAGTACTTGCGAACTTCCCTGTCAGGCGAAGCGGCTGACGTCATAAGCTCGTTGGAGATTTCCGATCTCAATTATGAAGTAGCATGGAAATTGTTGCGAGATCGGTACGACAACAAACGAGTAATCGTGCATACGCACATCAAAGCAATCATGGAGCTTCCATGTTCGGTCAAGGAAAATTCGAGCGAGCTGAGACAAATCGCGGACGGCGCGTCCAAGCACATACGCGCTCTTCAAGCTTTGAAACGTCCGACATCTCATTGGGATGACCTGCTCGTGCACATCCTAAGCGCTAAACTCGACGCGGTCACTTTGCGAGAGTGGCAAACATCGTTGACCGGTACAGATCTTCCCAATTTACAGCAATTTCTCGACTTCGTGAATCATCGCTGCCAAGTTCTCGAAGCCACAAGTAAATCCGCTAACGCGTCAAGTAAGCCTAATAACGCGAAATTAGCATCACAAGTAAAACGTCAGACTGCATGCGCAGCAACACTTAATTTCAAATGCAGTTTTTGCCAGGGTAGTCATTCTATCTACAAATGTAAAGATTTTCTAGCACTCTCAGTGTCCAGTAGAAATTCCGAAATTCGCAAGCGCAAGATTTGCATCAATTGCTTGCGTTCCACCGAGCATAAAGCTAGCCAATGCCCATCAGGCACTTGCAGAACATGCAAAGGTAAGCACAATACGCTTTTGCACGCGACGAGTGTGCAGGAGCACGAGCAAGAAAAACGCCAAGAGGAGGCATCAGCATTGTCTCCAACGGCTCTAGTTATGCATGCGCATAATTCTCCGGAAGATCAATGCGTCGTGCTCTCCACAGCTGTCATCCACGTTCATGATGGCGGGGGGAGGCGCATCGCTTGCCGAGCCTTACTCGATTGCGGCTCGCAGGCTAATTTCATTTCTAAGAAGTGTTTGCTTGAACTCGGCTTAAAACCACAGTCAACTAGTATATCTATTTCAGGTATAAACGTGACAACCAGTGCATCTACTCAGATCGTCCGCCTGAAATTCCAATCTCGCTTGAATTCTTACTCGGCTATCATTGATTGTATAGTGACGGAGCAAATAACGGACAGACTTCCTGCTCTTACTATCGATCGGAATAAGATCAACATTCCCGGCAATCTAAAATTGGCAGACCCGCATTTCTTCAAATCGTCAACTGTCGACATCCTACTAGGCGCTGACATTTTTTGGGAACTATTATGCGTGGGACAGGTGCAATCATCGCCGAGGCACCCAACGCTCCAAAAGACTCGCTTAGGGTGGATTGTAGCCGGTCGAATCGGCCTCTCTTCTTCGGCCCCGCGGAGGATACGTTCTCTGCATACCACCATTACTAATGCGCAGTAGCACGATCAGCTGAGTCGGTTCTGGCAACAAGAAAATTCGTACAACGATGTCAGTAACCACACTCTAGTCGAAGCTCACTGTGAGCAACATTTCTTGGATAACGTTTCTCGTGATCAAACCGGTAGATTTATAGTAAAACTCCCACTGAAGGAGCAGCTGATCGCTAAGATCGGCGATTCAAGGGATACCGCGTTAAAACGTTTGCAAGGCATGGAAAGGCGTTTCCAACGCGCTCCCAATCTCAAAGCACAGTACGTAGAGTTCATGAATGAATACGCATCTCTAGGGCACATGAAAGTCGCGAACATTGAATCAGACGAGGATTCAACATCGTTCTACTTACCACACCACTGTGTGTTTAAGACTGCAGACAAGAATTCGAAAATTCGCGTGGTCTTCGACGCGTCGTGCAAGAGCAGCACAGGCGTCTCGCTCAACGACGCTCTCACAGTAGGGCCTGTCGTACAGCAGGATTTAATGTCAATCCTGTTACGTTTTCGTACGCATCGATACGCCATTTCGGCTGATATAATCAAGATGTACAGACAAATTCTGGTAGACCCGTCGCAAACAAGATTGCAAAAAATTCTATGGCGAACCGACGTCCAGTCTGATGTCACGACATACGAATTAACGACGGTCACGTATGGTACGTTTTCGGCGTTATATCTCGCAACGAGATGCCTCAAATATCTAGCGGAACAGTATGTATCAGAATTTCCAGTAGGGTCGAAATGCGTGGAACGTGATTTTTACGTCGACGATCTGCTCACAGGAGCGGATACGATCACGGATGCAGAATCAGTAATACGAGAAACTACTCAGTTACTCCAGTTAGGCTCGTTCAAGCTCAGTAAATGGGCATCAAATTGCTCGCAGCTTTTGCCGGGCGCGGAGGATCATTCTAGAAACTTAGTGCCTATCGGTGATAGTGCTCTCTCACGCGTCCTCGGGATCCACTGGGATCAAAACAATGACGAATTATGTTTCTTTCATGAGGACAATGTAGACTATTCCTCCATATCGAAACGTGTAATACTTTCAGGAACCGCCAGGTTATATGACTCACTAGGACTGCTCGGACCTGTTATTGTCGTCGCGAAAATTATCATGCAGGAATTATGGCAGGCAGGTCATCAGTGGGACGAATCAGTCTCTCAGGACATACAGTCACGTTGGATGAAACTTCGATCGCAACTAGTGGAGCTGAATGAACTACGAGTTCCACGCTGCGTTAAGTTCACAGCGGATCCACGACTTGTCCAGGTACATTGGTTCTGCGACGCCAGCCAACGAGCGTATGGCGCATGCATATACCTGCGAACTGAAACCACCAATGGCTATCGCGTGGAGTTACTTTGCTCTCGATCGCGCGTGGCACCGCTCAGGGCCATTTCGTTACATAGGTTAGAATTATCCGCAGCATTACTGCTATCGCAGCTTTTAGAAAAGGTGAGAAGCTCTTTCGACTTGTCGCACATGAACATCTTTCTGTGGTCAGACTCTACAATAGCTCTCAACTGGCTATCCTCGCCTTCTCGAAAATGGACGGCTTTCGTGGCTAACCGGGTCGGCGAAATTCAACGCCTCACGAAAATAGTAAGTTGGAGACACATTCAGTCTTCTGACAACCCCGTTGACGCATTATCGCGTGGGCTCACCCCTCAAGAATTAACGAATTCTTCCCTGTGGTGGCAAGGCCCAGAATTCTTACGGTCACACCAGGATGACTGGCCAAGCGGCAAATTTACTCAGTCTGAAAGTGGCATGCCGGAGATGCAGAAAATCACGGTAGCTGCCGTTTCTCTCGAACGATCGGTGGTGGACGAATTAGTCAGTAAATTCTCAAGTCTCACTAGGATATGTCGAGTTCCAGCCTACTGTCTTAGGTTTCGCAAGGCACATCGGCCAAGTCCACCAACCACTCTCCTTTCTCACAACGAAATAGCTTACGCTCTCAACGTCGCATGCAAGGCTATACAAAGGGCATCCTTCCCTAACGAATACGGAGCATTGAGTAAGGGGAAGTCTATCAGTGCATCTAGCAAAATACTTTCATTATCTCCTTACATGGACGACACAGGATTAATTCGCGTAGGGGGCAGATTAAAGAATTCCAGATTACAATTCGATGCTCAGCACCCCATTTTGTTACCCCGTGAACATGAACTAACAAAGCGGGTAATAAACTACGAACATGTAACTTGCACGCTGGAACGCAGGCAACCATGGCTGCTGTAAGACAACGGTTTTGGCCTCTTTCTCTCCGGTCGTGTACGCGCAAAATTCTTCGGAATTGTGTAACTTGTTTCAAAGCCAAGCCAGTTCAGTCGGAAGCGATAATGGGCTCTCTACCGGCCAATCGCGTCACCGAATCAAGACCATTCTCGCATTGTGGCGTGGACTACGCTGGTCCAATCATACTAAAGGAAGACAGGCGGCGAAACGCACGTAATACTAAAGCATATATTTTCGTGTTTGTATGCTTCTCGACAAAAGCAGTTCATCTCGAACTAGTGAGCGATCTCACTTCAAATGCATTTATCAGCGCGCTCCGGCGTTTCATTTCGCAAAGAGGTAGACCGGCATGTTTATACTCGGACAAAGGAACTGTTTTTGTGGGAGCTCACAATCAACTCAAGGAAATTCAGGATTTCCTTAAAACACAACAGGCTCAAGCCGACATAGGGCAATTTCTCTGCAAGCAAGAGATCACGTGGAAATTCATACCTCCCAACGCGCCTCACTTTGGAGGCTTATGGGAGGCTGCAGTAAAGTCAGCCAAGTATCACATGGCGCGAATAGTAGGCTCCCGTTGCACATCTCTCTCTCCCGCCCATTACAGTCCTGTACTTACACTATTGCGCTCTCTTTCTAACCCGTTGCACATCTCTCTCTCCCGCCCATTGCAGTTCTATACTTACCCTCAAAGAATAAGGAGAAGAAGAATGGAAGGCTTGCGACCAGCGAAAATGTGCCATCTAACACATGTGCTGTTAACTGTTTGGTCGGCCATGTTAGATATGAAACGTTAGGTTCTAGGTTCAAAAGATACTAGAAAGTTGTTTCTTTGGTGTGAGACGTAAAAATATTAATCATTTATTGTTGTCCATGTATGCAATAAGCGTGTTACTTATATTATAAAATTATAGTTATAAAGTATAAATATAGAAAAATGAGTCGCGGTGCATACTGTTTTGTGAAAACTTGTTATTATAATAAGTTCGATAATCCAAATTTGTCATTTCTAATGTTGCCAAAAGATCCTTCTATGTAAGTTATAGATTAATTAATATTGATTTTTTAATAATAACTAATATCTAATGTATATTTTCAATGTTTTAAAGAGCAAAGAAATGGGTAGAGTTTGGAGATCGAAAAGATTTACTAAAAGATGATTTGTATAAAAGAAAAAAATATACAATGTGTAGTAACCATTTTACAGAAAAGGATTTTAAATCAATCTATCCACGAAGGTTATTGTGGTCAAACACTGTTCCATCAATGAACGGGCCAAAATATAAATATGGTATGACACATAAAAAAAAATTAATTAAACTTATAAAAAATATGTCTGTTTTTTAAACTCTTTATAGACATGCCGTCTTCGCAATGTGAATCTAATGAATACACTGATGTTGAGAAAACAAAGTTAAATAATGTCTGTCAAGACTTTGTCACCGAATCAACAAGTTGTAGCTTTTCCGATGGTAAGTTTTATATACTATTCTCATACAATACATATTTTAATTTGTTGTTTACTTTCAGAAAGTAGTGCCACAGACTTACATCCTAAGATTAAGAGAAAAACCAGTCAATACACTGATGTTGAGGAGTCAAATAATGTCTGTAAAGACTTTGTCACTGAATCAACAAGTTGTAGCTTTTCCGATGGTAAGTTTTATATACTATTCTCATACAATACATATTTTAATTTGTTGTTTACTTTCAGAAAGTAGTGCCACAGACTTACATCCTAAGATTAAAAGAAAAATCAGTCAATACACTGATGTTGAGAAGTCAAATAATGTCTGTCAAGACTTTGTCACCGAATCAACAAATTGTAGCTTTTCTGATGGTAAGTTTTACAGAGAGGATTCCGATAGCGCACATCGTTAATTGACTAATTTAAAATAAAATGTTCTCATTGATAAAGTAATAAAAAATTACTAGGCAGCAGCTCTGGCTGATGTAAATTGATGTGTGCTATTATGATGTGCACCAACGAAACATTCCCAGTTTTATATGTACTATAATTCGCTAAAGCACATAATGTGTATCTTCCAACAAGCGACACAGATTACACGATGTGATACAGTGTATCATGACATCCTTTTTGTTCGCCAATATTAAACAAGGATGAGATGATCACTGTATTGTACTGTGTCGCTTGTTGGAAGGTACACAATATTTCAGCAATATTGTGATATTGCTGCAATGTTCCATGCTAATGAAAAATTTTTTTGCTAATACTTATTATGTATCCGTTGCAGATAAAAATGTATTCAATTTATCTGCTATTCTTTATTTATCTGCTATTCTTTATGTTGCTGAAATACATAAAGTTCTTGCATATTATGAATGTAAACTATTAATATGTTATTAATGTTTTTTCGTAAATTAAATATATATCTATACATACGTATGAAATAGAAATAAAAATAAAAGATCTTTTAGTATTAGAAATATATTATAGTAATAAGTCTAGTATTAAAAATATTCTTAAAAATTGTGTGTTTACAATAAGTATTTAATAAAAGAATACATTAATGTGTAATAACATTACACTTTACATTAGTATATGCAGCAATATGAATAAGGACTTTGATGGCTCAAGATAAGAGACTTGTAGTGTCTCTCAGTTTTTGAACATGACTGGAGACACTACCGCGTCTCCTGATACATTTACATTGTGCCATTTATCTGTACATAATTCGTCTCTGTTTTTCATCGAATTTTTTGTAGGAACTTGTGTTTTGGACGGCCGTTCAACTCCAACAATGATATTAAAGAAAAAAAATCTGAGCAATGTAACACCAAGGTCTAAAAAACGGCTAAATCATTATAAGAAGATGAATAATATTTTGAAATGTAAATTGTTCCGTGAACATAAGAAAAAGTCATGTATTTGTAGTTTTGGCAATCGAACTGTTGATCGAACATTGGCTAATCGAAAAATCAATGCGTTAATTGCAGACTCAAAACAATTCTTATCAAAAGAGGCACATTCCTTATTTTCTTTTCAATGTAAATCTGCTTTTAAATCGAAACATAGTAGACGATATGATGATTGCATGAAACAGATTTGCTTAACTTCGTACTATAACTCTCCGAAAAGCTACAATGCATTACGCAAAATTTTAAATTTACCAACACCGCGAACTTTGAGAACTTGGCAATCTGCTGTACAGATTGATACGGGAATTAACAGTATGGTTATACAATCCATAACAAATTACTTTGCAATAAATAAAAATAAGCATGAAAATTTATGTTCTATTATGTTTGATGAAATTAGTTTGAAGGAAGAATTGTTTTATCATGTTAGCAAAGATAAAGTTATCGGAGTTATTGACAATGGAGAAAAACGTACAAATGCATTAGCAAATTCTGCACTTGTGTGTATGGTGCGAGGTATAACATCAAATTGGAAACATGTAATTGGATTTTGGTTTCTTGGTAAATCTGAAACCAATGTAAACATGTATAAAATTATAATGCAATGTATAACAAGTTTATATGATGCAGGTGCAATAGTAAAATTATTAGTTTGTGATCAAGGGCCTAGTAATAGAAGTTTAGCTAAAAAACTTTGGATTGATGAAAGTAAAACTCATTTCGAGTTTCGGGGCAATAAAATCTATTTTGTTTATGACGTACCTCATCTTTTAAAATCAACTCGAAATAATCTGATGAAATATGATTTCTTATACAAAGAGCAAATTATAAGTTGGAAGCATATTTCATCTATTTTTTTAGCTCAAAATCCAATTACTATACGAATGTTACCAAAAATAACTTTGCAGCACATAAATGTTAACAATTTTAATGCTATGCGAGTTAAATATGCTGCTCAAGTTTTTAGTGACACTATGAGTGTAGCACTTCTTGTCGCAAAACATTTTAAAGTTGTTGGGCCCGAATCAGAATATACAGCAAATTTTGTTAAAGATATGGACAATTTATTCGATACTCTCAATAGCTGTCGTCTTAAAGAAGACAAAATCAAATTAAGATACGCTATGAGTAAAGACTCGCCTCATGAGAAAATTTTAACAGATATGAAATATAATTTACAAAATAGTAAATTTATTGGGACTAATAAACCAGCATGTTTAAAAGGGTGGGTTATAAGTATTACTAGCATTTTAGCTTTGGCAAAAGACTTACGTGATAATTACGATGTTGAAAAACTATTGACAAGGCATTTGAATCAGGATCCCCTTGAAAATTTTTTTGCCATTGTTCGACAACAACATGGAAATGTAAAAAATCCGAATCCATATCAGTTTCAAAATGGAGTGCGACACACATATATCACTACAATTTCAAAACTGTCAGAGAATAGTAATTGTGAAGATGACAACACATTCACATTGACGAAAATAATGAAATTGTCTCATAAAAAAAAGTTTATCAAGCCAGTGAATGAAGAACATGTAGACATTAGTAATGTACAAAATCAAATTGAGGAACTAAAAGATTTACCTGACATACTAGATGTTATACATTCGAAGACTGATATTGATAGAAATGGAATTTATTATGTTGCAGGATATTTTTGTAACAAATATGTAAAAATTCATAAATGCGCAGAATGTAAAAAAATTATTTTCGACAGGGACAAATTACTTGCAGTTGTTTACCTACTTTAAACAGTGTGATAAATTGAAAGACAGTCAAGGATTAAAATTCGTAACAGATGCAGTATTTGATGTCATTCAATCACTTGAAGCAATACATAATAGTTTATTTAATAAGTTTTTGAAAAGTAAGAGTTTAACAAAAGATTGCTTTTTATTGTACAAAATAAATATAACGTACAAATCAAATTATGTTCAAAAGAATCAAGTGTGTTATTTTTCAAATTATTTTTAAAAATTAGGAATTTATGGGCTGTTCGTTCATTAAATAAAAATAAATTCAGCAAAATTAACAATAAAAAAAATCAGAAGCTGAGAACCGTTATACACGAATAATGATGAAATTTTTAATGAGAGTTTTAGTGAAAGAGCATGTTT